CTCTCTGTCTGTCTGTCTGTCTGTCTGTCAATCACCCCTCTCTACAGAATCGGAAAGATATGAGGAAGTGCTGTTGGACTACCGTCTTGCCCCGAACATAACGCACCCTGATAATGAATGCACGGAAGCTGTCTTTCTGGTTAGGTACAGCCATAATGAGGGGTGCGTTGTGTTCGGGGGAAGACGGTAGGAAGGAAGGCTGCCCTTCGATTTTCCAGGGGAGTAGGGGCAGGGCAGGGAAGTGGAAGGAGGGCCATAATTTGTTAAAAATTCAGGGTTCACAGGGATGAGTGGTCTAATAATAGAACTGAACTGACATGTGAAGGATGTCACGCAAAAAAAGGAGCAAACAATCGAGAACCGAAATGATGGAAAGATAAATGACTAAGTCTTCTCTTATCTTTTGATTGCTACAGGGAGCCAGCGTTGCCGTCAACGATAAACATAATTCTTTGCCAGCTAGCGGAAGCCGTGGCGGGAAAACGTAGCCGTGGCGGGAAAAMCTGTCAGCAGACGTGACATATGAGGGCAGTGGTATTGGTTACACGTGGCACGATCACCGGACACGTGACACGGTTGTGCTACGTGACACGATTCCCTGTGCAACCTGTCACGATCAGCGAACATATGAGGTCAGTGGCACTATCAGTCGAAACGTGGTTACACGTGGCAGCCGACACGTGGCACGATCCGCCGACACGTGGCACGATCACCCAACACGTGGCACGATCACCCTACACGTGGGATGAATCCATGTGCCATTTTACTGGCGAGGGAGGAGTGGAAAAGCTGATGACAACTTTCTTGCTCTTGACAATCAGCGGACACGTGGCGCGATCTAAGGTGGAGTAATCAGGCAGAGAGAGGGGGCGAGGGCAGGTTGATCTAAGGTGATCGGAAGACGCGCAGGTCGTCATTAGCCGCGACACGCGGCTTGAGTTCAGTGTACTACTTGCACGGCAGGTGGAACGATTGCCCTCTCCCCTCTCGGCCGCCGATGTATTCGTTGCGCGCCGAGCTCTCGACAATACGGCACGTACAGTGTTATTACAATTTCGACAAGCTTCTGGTGGCTGCGGATCACAAGAACTGTTAGAACGCTTTCTCATCACAAATCAACTCGGGAATCCATCTAATCACTACAGAGAGCCATCCCATCCGACGGATCATCATCATCATCATCATCATCATCATCATCATCATATCCACACCTGGCATCAGATAGATCCGACAACAATCCAACGATTCACAGCGCAGATCAGAAAGATCCAAAGAGGACCAGATTCACAGTTTCAACCCCCCCGCTAGACAAAACGGCTCAGGATACGAACCAATCAAATTCAACGGACGTGATCTTCACAGAACAGATGTAAATCGACGGACAAGATTTTCACAGAATCTATATTGAAACGGACAAGGTAGCCAGATGCTGATCTGATTCAAAGGATAAGGTTCACAGATCTAACTCGACGGATCAGATTGAGCAGATATAATCCAATCGATCAGATTCACAGAGCTATCTACAGTATTTCGACGGATCAAATTGAGCAGATTTTAGAACGGCCAATCGAACGATCCGATTCGAGACCGGGCTGAGATTGAGCAGATCGATCTAATTCAACGGCTAAGATTCAGGACGGATCAGATTGAGCAGATCTAATTCAACCGGATAAGATTCATAGCAGATTCTAATTCCACGGGTCAGATCCAGCAGACTCTAAAACACCGAATCGAACGTTCATCGCAGGTTCATAGAAGTTTCATGGAAGGTTCATAGACGAAGTTCATCGAAGGTTCATCCGACGAAGAGCCCCGACATATCAAATCAGGTGTAAAGACGAAATCCATCAGATGTTTCCTCAAGGTCGAGCCACACAGATCTGACTTTTTTTTTTTTTTTTTTTTTTTACAGATCACGACGTTAATTAATCGCATCATCGTCGGACGGATCAGCAGCAGCAGAACTGCTATCACTACTACAGTAATTAATTAGTTCCGCAATCTGTCTCTCGCCAAAAAGATCTGACTAATTAATGTACCGATCCCGACGTTGATCGGATCGTCGTACGGATCAGGTCAGACCGAACTTGTATTACTAATTAGTGTCGCAATCTCTCACCCACTTCCAGATTTTTTTTTCGGATCGTCGTACGGATCAGGTTCTGTTTCAAAGCTCTCGAATATAGATTGAATCTGGGGATTCGATCAACGGATCTCTGTCTGGATCCGATCAACGGATCTCTGTCTGCATCCTGACGAGGAGCTTGAGGAGGAGTAACTGGGTGGTGGTGGGTTGTCGGCAGTTTCCAGGGCGAAAACGTTTTTAATATCCTTATGCGTTCCTGATGTTGGGGTTCTGTCATCCCGCCGATGAAGAGAGGGAGGTTGAGCGGCTTCATCCAGCTTCTCGACGGAGTTTCCGAGATGGCGTCAGTAATTTCTTTCTGAGGGAAAGGGGTAGCTGGGGAGCGGGTGGGAGATGCAGAGAAGGTGGTAGTCTCCCTTCACTGCGAGGCACGCTCGCTCAGACGGGAGTTCGTATCCAACTGGCAGCAAGAGATAAAGATACTGATCGGGCCACAGATTGGAGCCGTGGATGGAACAAGGGTCATCCTAGAGATCGACGTTGTGTGGGGTCCCCGTTGCTGAGCACCACGGTGAAAGTACCACCTTCATCTGCAGTTTCGACAAGTCGCCCCGCAGCTCGATCTTCCATAGCCATAGCTCCATCTTCCACAGCCATAGCTTCATCTACCACAGCCATAACTCCATCTCCCATAGCCACAGGTCAATCTTCCACAGCCATAGCTTCCTCTTACACAGCCAGAGCTCCATCTTCCACAGCCATAGCTTCGTCTACCACAGCCATAGCTCCGTCTTCCACAGCTCCAACTTCCATAGCCATAGCTTCAGCAACATCAGCGTCAGAGCTTGCTAATAAGAACAGCAGCTCGAAGAAGCCGGATACCATCGATCACAGCGGACAGCCAGCAGGCAGTTCAGAGGAGGAGGAGGAGGAAGAGGAGGAGGAGGAGGAGGAGGAGGAGGAGGCGCAAACGAGTTGTAGAAGTTCCGACTCATCGGCCAAGGAATTGCGGACACGTGGCACGTCCACAATGAATCAGGTACGCAAGGTGGGCGGCCATAACAACTCTCACAAGAGACCCGCAGCAGGTCAATCAGATTCTCAGGTCCAAGCAGCAGCAGGGGTAGCAGCAGGGGTCGCAGCAAGAGCTGCTGTAGCCGCCGTTGGAGGATCTTCAGCAGGTATCAACAACACCCTGACAGCCATAGATTTGAGGAGATCGACGGAGAGCAGGAGTCCGACAACCGCCGGTCGTCGACGAGCCAGCTCGGCCTCGACACGTAAGCCTAATCAGCATACCAATACGAAAATGAACACGTGTCATGCGGAGACGGCCCCTCAGCGTACCAGAAGCCCTGGATCGAAGCTCTCTCCCTCTCCCAAGAAATCCACTCTGAGAGGAAACAGTCCAGCAGCAGCAGCGGCGGCGACCATCGGTCGCGCCAGCGGTGCGGCAAAAACCAGCCGCGGTCCTCGACGCCGTTCTCCTTCTTCTTCTTCTTGTTGCTCTTTGTCCCCGAGCGCCGGTGCCGCTCGCTCCTCCTCTTCCATTTGCTGCTCTTCGTCATCATGCTCTTCCTCTTCTTGTGCTGCAGCGGTTTCTTCTTCTTCAGCTGCATGTGGTGCTGCTGTGTCCTTTGCATCTTCCAGTCTGAAAGCCACGTGTCGCAGTCGGCCGGCTTCCATCGAGGTCCAGCGCTCGATTTCCAAACGCCGCGTCTTACCTTTGGTCGACACAACCAATACCAAAGCGACACGTGGCAACGAATCCTGCACCAACGCTGCTGCTGGCAAAGACCAGTCCATCGCCGCTTGCACGGTCATAGCTGCTTCCACAGCCTCAGAACCCAACGCTTCCCAAACTCAATTGGGTGAAGGTCGACTCTCCTCCTCCTCCTCCTCCTCTTCCTCTCCCGCCATCGCCACGCCAGCCAACGGGGACCACCACCTCTCCACTTTTCAAGGCGACACGTCATCATCCCTTCCCTCTGCCGCGCAGTCGACTTCCTCATCAATCTCGGAGGCAGAGCGCGCCGAAAGTGACTCTCAGCTTGATCGAGGGACTGCGAGTGACAGCAGTACCGTAACTCAACAGGAATGCAGCCCAGGTTCAGAACCACGAGAACACCGGGGGGAAGATTGCCCACCTCCTAAGGAGGAGGGAACAGCCAGCTTGAGTCGCCAAAGGGAGGAGACCGGGCAATCATTGCAATTATTAGATCCTATAGCCCTAGCGAAAGACGCCAGCGGTGATACGAACCCACCACTAGAAGCTGCAGTCCACTGCAGGAGAGCTGAAGACCAAGCTCGAGCTCAGCTATGTCAGCAGAGTGTCGACGATAGCGGGCAGCTATGTCAGCAGAGTGTCGACGATAGCGGGCAGCTATGTCAGCAGAGTGTGGACGATAGCGGGCAGCTATGTCCGCAGAGTGTCGACGATAGCGGGCAGCTATGTCAGCAGAGTGTTGACGATAGCGGGCAGGTTGGAAGGCCGTCTTCGTCGTCCTGCAGAAGACTGGAGCGGGAGGGAGAAGATAACCAAGTCAAAGAACTACTACGTTCTAGTATTGCTGCGTCATTGCACAAGCCAATTAGCGCTCTTCTTCTCCTCCCTCCTCCTCCTCCTCCTCCTCATGGTGTTCTTCCTGCTTCGTCCATCACGACCTCGAGAGCACAATGTGCAGACGAGGAGCAGAGAGAGAGAGAGGGGAATCTAACAGACGACGAGGAGAGACAGAGAGAGAGAGAGGCTGCTGCTGCTGCTGATGCTGCTGCTGCTGATGCTGCTGCTGATGCTGATGCACCTCCAGCAGCAGGTCACAGGCTCGATTCCGGCGGATACTTAACTCCAGAACCTGACTTAGATGGTTCATACCCCAAGAGACGAAGACACAGTCTAGACTCGTCAGAAGACACAACAAGGTTCACGAGTAGCACTCAATCTAGAAATGCCCTCGGGGTTGTAAATGATGTTGCCCCTGTTGTTGTTGCTCAGCTGCCAGCGCTGGGAGCAGAGCACCCTCATCCCCCGCCAACGCAATCAGATCTCCAAGGAAACATACACGACGTGTTTCCTCCCTTGATTACCTCCTCTACTTCTTCAGCTGCGTGCCCCCCTCCTGGCTTTTCAGATCATGAGCAGCATCGCTGCAACAAGTCCCTCGTTAGTGCTGGCAAAGCCTTGTCATCAGTCCGTCGCTCTGCTGCTTATCGCGATGGAGAAAGTGCCACTGCAATTATCTTAACTCAGTTCTCGTCGAGCACCGACCTCGCTCGTGCTGCAGTCGATCGATCGACTGATCCTGCAGATCGGTTGCCTGTGCCTCCCACTGTCCATCGCTCCTCCTTCCATAGCTTAGCTTTGCTTGGTGGTACTGAAGACCTCCGATCTGTCATTCGATACCCCCTCTCCTTTGTGAACGAGCTGTACGAAGATGAGGAGGAGGAGGAGGAGGAGGAGGATGAAGATGACTATGACAATGATGATGATGATGATGATGATGGAGAGGAAGAGGAGGAGGAGGAGGAGGAGGAAGCGGAAGACGATCAGTCCTCCCCCTCGATGCACACTTGCCCTTCACCGTCTCAACAGTGTTTGTCAGATGACGATCCGACGGCGGAATGCCGCTCATCTGGCAGCACCATCAACTGTCGATCGCTCCGGACACCAAATTCTCCCTCCCGTCCTCCCTCCCCGCCTTTGGCAAGCATGCAAATGCAATCTAGACATGGTCTACCTTGCGATGCTCGGCTTCTTCCTCCTCTTACTCTTTCTCCCTCGCTATTGCCATCCCGACCCACCACCCTCGCTCACACCATCTCCTCGTCCTCCACCTCCACAATGCAAGCCTTCCAACAGGCGGCAATGGCCTCAGCCAGGACCAGAGGGGCTGGCCACGATAGTAGTGTCTTCTCTCGCACCAACACTAGTCTAACTCACGACCCTTCTTCTGCTCCTCATCATCATCCACCGCCACTACTTGGTGTTTCCCACACTCATCTTCCTCCTCGTCCTCATCATCCTCCTCCTGCTGTTGTGACTGCGACTGCTCGTCCTGTCGTCACATATCCTCCTGCTGTTGTGACTGCTATGGGAGATGGAGGTATGGCTATGAGAGATGGAGGTATGGCTATGGGAGATGGAGTTAGTGCTGAGTACTGTCACTCAACGGAGGTCAAGCATGAGCACAACCTCCATTCCTCTTCCTCAATCATCGATCAACAACGAGAGATTACTCCCTCAGATCTCAACCCCTCTCGCTGCTGTGCAAACTCGCAGCATGCCCCAACATCTCTCTCTCCTCCTCATCCTCCTCCCCCTGCTGCTGCTGCTGCTGCTCCTCCTTCTCCTTACTCTACGCTTGTAGGCGGCGCAGTATCTTATGTCCCTGTTCCGACCCTTTACTCCCAAACGATTCACATGGATGCCAGCTCAGGGGATATCGCTTCTCTCCGTCATCGCATCGTGGATCTTACCGAAGACATCAACGGATCGAGCGCCGAGTTGGGCGGCCAGACTCCTCTCCACGTTGCTGCTGGCGTTGGCAGAACGACTGCAGTCCTCCTACTCGCCGAGAACGGGGCTAATCTGGAAGGTCGAGACGATGGCGGCCTCACTCCCCTCCACTTCGCTGCACTCAACGGGCAGACAGCAACTGTGCTTCTCCTTCTGCAACTGGGAGCCGACAAAGACGCTGTCACGGATTTCGGTCAGACACCCCTCCACGTGTCTGCTGGACATGGCCGCACTTCGACGATCTCCGTCCTTCTCCAGCATGGCGCTAATCCCGATGCCATTTCCAATTTAGGAAAGTCACCTCTCCACCTTGCCGCTGCTCTCGGCCAAACTACCTCCGCCGCTTGCCTAATCAAGGCCGGTGCCACCGTGGATCTTCCTGACGACGACGATCGGACGCCTCTTCATGCTGCCTGCGAATCCGGTCGCTCTTCCATGATTGACCTCTTGCTGAGTCATCACGCCTCCAAGGACGCGCGTGACAAATCTCGGATGACACCGTTACACGTGGCAGCACTCAACGGACACACGGAGAGTGTCCGTCGTCTGTTAATTAGTGGCGCTGACGTGGATGCTAGGAATGACCATTGGGAAACGCCTCTCCACCTGGCGGCGTCAAATGGAAGAACAGCCACGCTGGAGCTTCTCCTTCGCTACGCGGGAAGACGATCAATTGAATCCGTGACACGTGTCGGGCGCACAGCACTCCACCTGGCTGCATCGACGGGAAGAGCAGCCGCGGTCCAGGCCTTGCTCACGAGCGGGGCCAACGCTGAGGCCAAGGATGACTACAGACAAACGCCCCTCCATCTCGCAGTCCGTACAGCTGAGGAGCAAGTCGCGATCCTGACCGTTGGGTGCTTGCTGAAATACTGCGCTGCCATCGACAGGGATGCATGCAACGACTTCGGCAGAACCTCTGTGCAGATCGCTGCAGAAAGACGGTGCTTTGCCATGGTCGAGCTGCTTCTACGTTCGTGATAAAAATTAATCATCGTCGGCAACAGCTCAAACATTTCAAAAACCACTACTGCATGTCGCGTGCGCGCGTGTGTGTGTGTGTGTGTGTGCGCTCGCGCACGTTCTGCTTGGCTCTGCACGTACTGACGCGCGTGCGCGTGCGTGGTCGTGTGAACGGGTGTGCTTTCTATTTATGTACACCTGCGCACCTTCAAATGT